TAAGTCTGTAGGAGACAAAGCTCCTTTGTGCTTCTAACCAGGAGGCGCCGAAGCGGCAGTCTTACCACACATAGAGATGGCAGAGCACGGACGTCCCCTGTTTCAGGGTGGAAATCGGCAGACAACCCTTGTCCAGGGCACTCCGGAAGACTGTTGACTATTTCTTCTTTTTTCAGTCTGTGGTCTGAGTGTGCAGGAGGCCAGAGGCAGTGGGTGCTCAGCTCTGGAGCTGACACAGGGCTTAGCAGCTTCCATCTGATTTGTGACTCTGGGCTTTAAACTCCATGCAGTGTTTACATCTACAAAGCCTTGCAGGGACAGGACTGAGTGAGGGGCCATCCATCTCCCTTGATACCTCACTCTAATTTCCTGTGTTGCTGACCTTCCCCCAACACTGACATTCCTTATGTTCCACATCAGTCCAATGGCTGCAGAGCTAAGGAAAAGGCTGAATGAGAAAATGGCCACACAAAGACACCGGCCACTATGGTCCTCCTTCCCCATGCCTAGGCCCAAGACTCCTCTTTGAGCTTGTACAACTCCTCTCTACATCAGCTAATTCTCAACCATCCACCCCTGCCCTTAGGTGTGGGCTTTGCCACCAGACAGGTGGCTAGCATGACCAAGCCTACCACAATCATTGAGAAAAACGGGGATACTATAGTCATAAAGACACACAGCACCTTCAAGAATACAGAGATCAGCTTTCAGCTGGGAGTGCCGTTCGACGAGGTAACAGCAGATGACAGGAAGGTCAAGGTAAGTCAAAAAAAGGGATGGAGGGTACTGAGACACTGTAGGGTGTGGTGATTTGCCTGAAGATCAGAGAACAGAGCAAGCCACTAGATTAAACCTAGAGGCCAGGCCAGGGTTAAAGGCACATACCTTTAATCCTAGCACTCGGGAGGCAGAGATCTGTCTGGATCTCTGTGAGTTCAAAGCCACCCTGGACCACATGAGATTGACTCAGTCTAGGAGAGAAACAGAGTCAGGCAGTGGTGGCACACACCTTCAATCCCAGCATTAGGAAGGATGAGACAGGAAGTGATGGCTGGGCAGGGAAAGGCATATATGGCGTGAGGAGACAGGAACTGAAGCCCTTTTCGGCTGGGGCTTTTCAGGCTGAGGAGTCCCAGAGGTGGCTGTGGCTTGTTCCTTTGTCCCTTTGATTTTTCAGCACTTACCCCAATATCTGGTTCTGGGCTTTTACTAAAAGACATTTTAGAATTCGTGATACAGTAGGGTAAGAGGCCAGCCCTCTCTTAGTTCCTTGGCTTTGTACCCCAAGGGGCAGGCTGTCATAGATTTAGATCAACAAGGTTCATAAAGCCTGCTCAGTGCTGGGATGCCCTAGGGGCTCAGTACAAGCTCTGGCCTATTTTCTTCTCACCTTCCTGGGTAGGATCTATCAGCTGCTACTGGAGTGGGCAGCAGAGCTGAGATGTTCTTCTGACCTTACATCTCCAGCCCCAGCTGGGTGACCTTGTACACCAAGGTATGCAGTAACTCCGAGGACTTACTTCAGCAGCCATGGCTGTGACCTGAAGTGCTTTAGGAATGATGCCCAGAATCAGTGCCCTGTACTGAGGTCACCCAGGCGCTGTCAGAAGAGGCAGCTGAGCCCTCCTCACAGGTTTTCTCTTCTGCAGCTCTCAGGCTAGGCCACTGACCGTGACGAACTGTTTCCAGTACCACCAGCTGACAGCCAGAGCTATGCTCCAGGATATGCATGCATTCACCGACATGCATGTTGTGGGTGTTTGTAGTCTCCAATATTTACTTCTGGGTGTGGGAGGGAGCACTGAACTCCAGTGTTGCTCAGTTACCTCACAGTGGTTATCCTGGCTGCTTGCACAAACCTCCCAGCACTGGTCTAGACACAGAACTTAGGGTTGATGACATCTATATCCCTAGGTTGTCCTTATACCAGTATCCCCAGCATTGTAACCCTGAAGTTGACCTCTTCAGCTGCTGCACAGCAGTCTCCATAAAGAACAGGGTAGCTACTGGTCTTACAGATGCAGAGGAGCTGAAAGCCCAGCCCAGGACCACACAGCAGGCTAGCAGTGGCACCTGGGACAGTGCACTGTGATGACAATCAACTTTGGATGAGGGTGGCTGCTTCACCACATGCTCCTAACTATGTCCTTGAACTTGCCACCTTTTTATGGGAGCAGACGACACATTAAATACAACAGTGGCCTGCTGGGATGTTTAGGCCGAAACTTAACTGTTGAGTTGACAAGAGCCAATGGGGAATGCAGACTCCATAAGGTGGAACATAGACAGCCCAAGAGATGAGTGATCAACTACAACCACCACTTTTCTAGACTCCTACCCAACAGACCCTTCGTTCCCTAGTTCTGGCCTACAGCTCCCAAATTCCTAGAGAAGAGAGATCTGGGCAAGCTGCCAAACAAGCTAGCAGCTGATACAGGCCGGCAGCCCCGAGGACCAAGTGGGCCCTGGAGCCAGAGCTGAAGAACACCCCAAGGACACCCGGTCCTGGGAGCTTGCACTTGCTGCTCTGTTGCTGGTTGGGATCATGGGATATAAACTAGAGGAAGGGAGGTCTAATTTTCCAATATAAATCAAGGGTCTTTTAGACACTGCTATGCACAAGAGTAGAAAGATGGTCAGGATTCCACTTTGGGTAGCCTCAGAGAAAGGGGTGGGCTTGAAGGGACCTGGAACTGCTCTACCGAGCCACGCCTCAGCCTGAGCTCCTTGGAGGCTTGTGCCAAGGGCCGAGATGCCAGCTGCACCACTGCCCCAGCTCTCCACCTCCCATGGCGGCCACAGAGCAGGAACCCATATAGCTGTGTTGGAGCTGGGCTGCCTGAAGGCTCATCCTAGCACCCGTACCAGTTGGCACCAGTTAGGTTCCTGGTCTGTCTTGCCCTTCAATTCTGGCTCTGGTCACAGCTTAGGGTCTACCTCTTCCCACAGTCGACAGTGACACTGGATGGGGGCAAACTTGTCCACGTGCAGAAGTGGGACGGGCAAGAGACTACGCTCACAAGGGAGCTGTGTGATGGGAAACTCATCCTGGTAAGATGGGCAGCGGCGGTGCCTCCCAGCAAGTGCCTTGTCTTCTACAGTCCAGGTCCTCCCCTCAGGGACAGACAGAGGAACTGGACAGGAGAGGCAGGGATGGGGATTCATACGAGTCTTGGTTCAAGTATCAGCTTAAAGGCTGCCTGACTCTGGACATGTCACCTTGGTAACACCAACCTTGAGGGCTGCTGGGAAGACTGTATTCATAGCCGAAAGCACCACCCAAGTGGGAAGAATGCAGGAGGTGCCCATAAAAGCTTCCTCCTGTTTGCTGTTCCCAAGGAAGGAGGAGAAAGCAGGGCCAGTTGGTCCCAGGCTCTCCAGGAACAGCTGCTACTCCATCCTCTCCTGGATAGGAACACAGACATCTGCAGGAGCAGGCTTGTGCCTGGTGGGCACTGCTATTGTTCCCTGTTTCTGGCTTCCTGTAAATACCTATGGCCTAGATAGGGGTACAACCAGGCCTGCAGATCTGCTTTGGGACAAGTTTAAGAGTTCGCCAGGAGACTGTAACCCTGTAGGACTGTGCCTGTACCAGAGGCATGGAGAGCAATGTCAGCATCGCAGACCTCACCTGGCTCAGTGGAACCTGCTAATTGCATCTCACATTCACAGGAGACCGGGGTCCCCACTGAGTTAGGAATGAGGTGCCTAGCTTTGGTAGGGAGGTAACAAACAGGACCATATTCACTGGGCAGTTAGACTAAGGTGACCATGGCTTGACTCTCCTGAGACACAATACTGGTGGTTATGAGAGGGAGAAAAAGTTGGCAGATTAGCGGTTTTCTCAAGACTCTGGATGTTTTTATTCATGTTTGCCTACTATGTGCCAGGTACCACCTTAGTGAGCAGGTGCCAAACACAAAAGAAAGAGGAACAGGAAATGTGCTAGATCTTGACCAATTTACATCGTCTTTCAAGGGCCCATTTTCCCAAAAATCTTTAAAATGGGAGTTATAACACCTATCTTAAAAGATTGGTATCAAGAAAAAAGTCAAGTTCCTGGCACATAGTAGGTATTCAAGGGCTGATCAGGAGGAAGAGGGTGGGGAGCACTCCCTCTCTGCCCCGTCTGACCCTGTCCTTCCTTCCAGACACTCACCCACGGCAGTGTGGTGAGCACCCGAACTTACGAGAAGGAGGCGTGACGCTGCTGCGCTGTAGCGGACTGTTCCTCTGCCAACCGGCTACCCTCGACCCAGCACCACGTGCCTCATTTTCCCTCTGGTGTTTTGTATAAATACACTTTGGCTGGGATGCTTCTGGAGATGGGGCACCAGCCTGAATCCCAGTTCCCATTGTGTATGGCTTTATTTTTTAAAACTGTATCCACAGGGTGCTCCAAGGTCAATAAAGCAGAGCCAATCCCCCCCTCCCCCCCGCCCGGCTTTTGCCTTTGTTCCTCCTTTCCGGTGTGTCCTGGGCCGAAGGGACAGCCTATGGGCCACCTGGGAAGGGACAGCCTGTGGGCCACCTGGGAGGGGACAGCCTGTGGGCCACCTGGGAAGCAGCGCTGGTGAGGAGCCCAGGTGGACGGTCTCTGCCCCCGCTGCCATGCTATGTCTTTACCCTGGCCCGCCATGGTCAGATGAGCTAGGTGTCCCTGAGTGACTTCTTCACACCCACTCTGCACCAAACACCCCTGAATTGGCTCAGGACAGGGTCCAGGGACCACTGTGGTGGGAGGTGACTGCCAAGTTCCCATTCGTGCCCCAGAGAGCCCCCAAGGCTACAGTCTTGCTGGGTTTTCTAATCAGCCCAAGGGAAGAGGTCTTCACTATGGAAGAGAGGGCTTTTGAGTGATCTCAAGAAAGCTGAGACTTGCTAGTGACCTTGGCTTTGTGCCTCAGCTTGGCCTCTTTCCAGAGTCTCAGATAACATATTAAGTGTTTTCTGTGAAAAGTTACCCAGGAAGGATTATAGGAACAAGGCCTTCCAGAAAGTTTAAAACCAAACACATTTCCATTTATGCCAGGAATTTAAGCAGAGACCTGCAATGGAACCAGTCACTCACATAGTGATACAGAAGGCAGAGCAATGACCTTGGCTTCAGATCTCTGGCTCAGCAGTCACTGCAAAGACTGTCTGAGCACAGGCCCAGGTTGAGGAAATGAACAATACTTCTCCCTCCTGCCTTCAATAGAGGCTGCAGAGTCTACCCACAACTGGTCCCAGACAGCAGGCAGGCGGAGGCTGCTCACTTTGCTCTCCCACCACAGCCAGGCTCACCTCCACAGTAGCACCTGTGGCTCTAGCCTGGACTCCTGCAAAGGGATCCAGCTCTGGCAGTGGCAGCCGGGGATGGTACTAGAACCTTCTGCCGAATAAGGAAATTGTGTACATGAATGCAATGGCTGTGGGGGTCACTTGCAAAGGGATCAGAAGCAATAAGGAAAAACCATTTTGGGGGCTGCCCGCTAGCTTCTCAAGCTGCTGGCTACACAAGGAGAAGCCATCTGAGCGCACAGGGACAAAGTCAGTGGGGTGGGAGGCCATAGTCTCACTACTGAGTCTTCCAGGAGCCAGGGCTACCACGGCCATCCCACCCTCATTCTTTGTGCTTCTTGTGCTTCTTCTTCTTCTTTTTCTTCTTTGGAGCCTTGCTGTCCTTTGATGCATGCCTGGCCTTCTTGCCCATATCACTCTCAGAATCGGAGCTGTCGCAGTCAGACGACTTCCTGTCTCTGTGTTTCTTTTTCTTCTTTTCCTAAAAGGGAAATGTAAGGTTTCAGCATCCATGTGAATATCTCCTTTAATATCAGAACCACAGCAGGTGACCAGTAGGTGAGGTACAGCTGAGTGTGGTGTGCATTTGGGAAGTGGGGGCAGGAAGACAGGGGTTCAAGGTCAGGCAAAACTGCATAGGACACCGCAAAAAAGCCAGGCAGTGGTAGGGTACCAAATAGATCTCTTGAGTTCAAGGCCAGCCTGGTGTACAGAGTGAGTTCCAGGACAGGCACCAAAGCTACACAGAGAAACCCTGTCTTGAAAAACCAAAACCAAACAAATACCCTGCAAAAAGAAACCCGGGCAAAGAGGCACACGTCTATAACCCAGTGCTACAGGGGCAGATCTGGGAGGGTATACCCAGTGAGCTCCAGACCAGCTAGGCTCTAAAAGGCAGAAAAACCCCAAATGAGAAGTGGCGGGTGGAAGAGAACTACGACACACAACACTTGTGGATTTTAGCAACTGTGTTGGATGTGTGCTGCTATGTACAACATAGACATGCTACCATGTTTACACACACACACACACACACACACACACACACACACACACACACACACACATTTAATACCCACAAGACTCCTGGAGCTAGAGTTAGTTGCAGGTGATTCTGAGACACCCAATGGCTTCTGGGAACTAAACTCCAGCAGCACATGTGCTTTTAATCTCAAGGCATCCCTCCAGCCCAATGCTTCTTTTTAAAAAACAAGCATCTACTCTTTTTTGCTTGGTTTTTTCAAGACAGGGTTTCTCTGTGTAGCCCTGGCTGACTGTCCTGGAACAGACTGGCTGTCCAGACCAGGCTGGCCTTGAACTCAGAGATCCACCTGCCTCTGCCTCCTGAGTGCTGGGATTAAAGGTGTGCACCACCACTGCTTGGCTCTCAGTGAGTTCTTAGCTAGCCTGGTCTACACAGTTCCATGACAGCCAAGGCTATGTAGAGAGACCCCATCTCAAAATGAATAAATACAAATAATAGATAAATAAGTTTAGGTCAATCTTTCCAAGAGCCAAAGCGACAGGAAGAACAAGTATTTGGAGTGGGAGGTTTGAAGCAGGGCCTCATGTATTCCAGTTCTATCCTGGACTCCTGATCTTCCTGCCTTAGTTTCCAGAGTGCTGGAATTGCGGTAGTGTACTACTTTGTCAGCTTTTGCATTCTTTGGAAGAAATACAGACGCCAGGCTTTTATTCTGTCATTTTTATGTCACTTATATGTGTGTGCACATGCACTCCACGGACCATGAGTGGCAGTCAGAGGATAACATTCGAGAGTCAGTTCTCTTCCAACTGGGAATCCAAATCACGTCTCAGGCTTGGCAGCTGTCTTTATCCACTGAGCAATGCCACTGGCCTCTCTACAATCATTTTTAATAAAAACAGTTTCACAGGCAAGTTTACTCTACAGGGCATGGCATGGGAGGTCCAGAACCCTAGAGGGGTGAGGCACGGCCACAGAGGATGGAGGAATAGTCCTGATCCCCTGGTGGCTGCCAGAATGGAGACCCACTGTGATTTAAACTTGCCCCTTCCCCTAGGGCAGCCCCACTGACATGCTGGCAGCAAAAATAGATGGCCTCTCTTACCCCTAAAGAGCAATAACTATCTTGAGCTCCATGCAGTGTAAAGGAGCTTTGGGAGCGAGCATGGTCAGAGGAGGAGAAAATACTATTTCCTAACATGACTTTTCCTCACACTCACACAAAGAAAGGGCAAGTGCTGTGTGAAGGATTGGAATGTGCCAGAAAAGTTTTAAGGTAAACCAACAGTTCACGGCTTGGCTTTGCAAATGGAACTTCTTTTTTTTCCACCAGGGGTGGTCCTAAAGTTAGACACCCCTGCACACAACCATGTCACTAAAGCTAACAGCACAAACCCAGAGTTGGTTCCTACGCTTCAGGGGGAGGGGGGCACCTGGGTGGTTCTTCAGCACTGTGTAAGCTGCCTCCTTGAGTTTAAATATCTACATTGCCTCAGCAAAATTCCCCAAAGGAGACTCCAGGAAGAGGGAGGGAGGCCCGACAAGTGAGGCTCCTGCTCCTGTAGGCTTTTTAGCCAGCATCCTGCAAGCCTGGGTGATCACCAGGTGCTACAAGCTGCCCTGTGGTGGAAAGAACAGCGAGCCGGTGTCCGTGACACAGACCTACCCCAAGTTCTACTCACTAGTCTGCAGCCTTGACAAGTCATCTCACCTCACTGAAGTCTAGCTGCTGCAGATGGAAAACAGATAAGAATAGCATCCATGTCACACGGCTGTGATGATTCAATGAAACAGTATCCGTGGCGTGGAGAAGCTGGAGGACTGTCCCAGACTATAGGGGTAGGGTTGAAATCTGCGTGTAGATGATGGGAAGGAAGTGGCTCCTAAGCAGAGCATGGCCCCCTTCCATGGACACGACAGGCGGCCTCACAGCATGGTGGTCAGAACAGCAACCTTAGAATAAGACAATTACATTCCGGCTCTGCCACTTGAGTCACCCTGTGTGTCACTGGGACCAAGGACTTGTTTAAACAGTACTTACTTTGAAAGGCTATGAGGGTAAGTTCTAAACCTCACACATTACAGGCATCCTGCAGTACCTAACAGCCCCCCTACAGCAGTGCTGGGAACCGAGCGCACAACCCTGGGCATGCCAGGCAAGCGCTCTACCATGGACGACAGCACCACCAACTACAAGTACTGTCTCCTATTCCAGTAACTCTCAGGGTCTTCTCAATCTCAGCAAATAAGTAAACGAACAAGTTCAGGGTTTTTCAATAACTCACAGAGATCCACCTGCCTCTGCCTCCCGAGTGCTGGAATAAAGGTGTGCGCCACCACCAGGCTCAAACTAAAACCTGGAAGGCTTCTCTAGTGTCACCACAGATCTTTCAGTTGCTCTCCTGATGCCATCTTTACCATTCCCTTTCCTGCTGTGAGATGGTCTGTATGTCAAATTGCTCTGATTGGTCAATAAATAAAACACTGATTGGCCAGTGGCCAGGCAGGAAGTAGGCGGGACAAGGAGAGAGGAGAATTCTGGGAAGTGGAAGGCTGAGTGAAGGAGACACTGCCAGCCACTGCCAGGACCAGCAGCATGTGAAGACGCCGGTAAGCCATGAGCCACGTGGCAAGGTATAGATTTATAGAAATGGATTAATTTAAGATGTAAGAACTAGATAGCTAGAAGTCTGAGCCATTAGGCCAAACAGTTTAAAGAATATAAGCGTCTGTGTGTTTATAAGTGGGCTGTCAGACTGCCGGGGCTTGGTGGGACCTGGAGAGAAGCTCTCCAGCTACACTTTCCTACCTCACATCCAATCTCTCAACGGATTCTGTCCACTCTGCCTTCAGAGTCCACCCATCATCTCCTTTCTCATCATTTCTACAACCGTCACTCTAGTATGAGCCCAGGCCTCTCATCTGGATTGGCAGCGTCTGCCAACCTGCCCGCTTCTAGCCTTGTTTTCTGACCAGCCAGAACAATCTTCTTAAAAAGGAAGGCAGAGGTAGGTGGACCTCTGGTGTAAAGAGTGAGTTCTAGGTCAGCCAAAGCTAGTGAGACCCTGTCTCAGAAACGTCCGAGCATGTCACTGCTCTGCTGAAAAGCTCTACTTAAGTAAAGCTGAAGTCCTCACAACCAGGGCCTCCACGGTCTCTACACATCCTCCCCTTCCACTCCCTCTTTTATTCCACCCACACTGGCCTCCTCATGCTCCTGAAGTGTGCCAACTCACTCCCAGCACCCGGCTACTGCACCGCTGAAGCCCTCTCTCCACTCAGCTAATTCACCTGCTTCCCCACTCCAGATAAATGTACTTATCCAAATAATACTTAATTTTTTTTTTTTTTTTCTGAGACAGGACCTTGCTATATGCAAACCAGGCAGGTTTGGAATCCCCCTGCCTCAGCTTCTCATGTGCTGGGATAATAAGAGCACACCATTACACACGGCTTCAATGATAATTCATAAGAGATAGCACCCTATCTAAAATGCCAAGACAGGTTTGGGGTGCAGCTCAGTGGCAGAGACTTGCTTACCATGCACAAGGTGCTGAGTTCAACCCCAATACCACAAAACATGGCATTTGCACTACTTGATATATTAATGTCATGCAGTATTTGTTACCAGGTCCTTGTCTATCACCTCCATTAGGTCACAATGCATTTTCTTCATTTTGTACCTCGGTGACTAGACTAGAGGTACATATGACAAAGCTCCATTCATGCACGAAGCTGAAGTCCAGTGTGTGTGTGTGTGGGGGGGAACAGTGGAAGATGATGTTTTATCACAGAAGTGGAAATACAACACCTGGGTGTGTTGGCTCCACTTGTAATCTCAGTATCTGGTATATGGAGACAGGAGGACCAAGCATTTAAGATCACCCTCCGCTACACAGTGAGCTGGAGGCCAAACC